TCAGACACTAACAGCTTCGGATAATATCAACTGGCATCATAGTCATGCCTCAGCATCTAAAAAAGAAGAAAATATACTCAGTCCTCCTCAACTGCCATAGTGTGATAGCAGAAAGAAGAGGATTGATGTATATATCTGGATCATTATTGATTACCATGCCAAATTTAGTTCATCGAACCGATTAGCATGTCACCAACTCACATACGTTTTGATGTACTATCTTGAGGCTATATATGTAAAGGAAGCATTGCGAGTATCTTTACAAACACGAATGAATCAATTCTCTCAGTCTCTATCGACAACCCAAAACACTCCAACCCTAAAGCACCCAAAGTACTTGACCCTTAATCAATTCAACCATCGTCTGCCTTCCATAATTCTCAACGAATCCATCAAACACCTCACGGGCAAACCACACCCAATCAATCTCAATCCACAATCAACAATTGAGCCAATCGAACACACGAGAACCATATATATTAATTTATTCCAAGTCCAACAACCCTAATCAAATCAATCTAAAGAAACTAATTTTCCCCAGAAAGCAGGGGACTTCCCAATTCGAAACAGAGACTTACATTGAGAATCCGAGAAATCCCCTGGGTTTTGAGAAGCTCGGACCTTGAAGCGTTGTCGTAGCTGCCCAGATAGAGAAAGTCCGGGAGGATCTCAGAAGGGAAAGCGCTGATGTGAACAGACGGTTTGTCGGCGGAGGAATCCGGCATCCGGTGGCCGCAAATCCCGCAGACCTCACCTTCTTCGTACTTGTGGTAGTGCCCGCAAACCCCACATGGGTTCTCCCTTTCCCTCTTTCTCATCATCGTCGCCGTCGTCAATCACTAGAGAGATTCAGCTAGTCAGGTTTGAAGCTTGGGATTTGGAGACAAGTTTCAGATTTTCGCCAACTGTTTGATCGCTACGGCCTACGGGTGTTAAATAACAGAGACAGGCTGCCGTCGCTCACTCTCTTCCTAGTTCCTAAACCTTCGCAGTTTCGGTTTTCTCTTTCGAGCTCGGAAACAAAATGAAACGACACAAAATTTTGATTTTCCGCCTTTCCCCTTTTTCTTTTCCTTTTCGCTTTTTTAGGTCATCATGTATGTATTGCAGTGTTATTAAAGTTCAGCCGAGCCGCTCGACTCGACCGGTAAAATCGTCATCCGGTCATAAACCGAAACGGAGCATGATCCGATAACGCGAACGACTTGCACTTTAGTGATCTAACCGGCAATAGACCGTTTAAAACCGTTAGAGAACCGGTACATAATAAACGTTATCAGTACAAATAGTGGACATTTCTTAATCATAGCTCATCTCTTTCCTTCAAAATTGTGAAATGGAAATAAAGATTCAGTTTGAGACCCCGACGTTTTTGGTTTATTTCAATTTTCAATTTTATGCAATTTTTTTAATTAAATTTAACAGCTGAATGGCAAAAACCGGACGAGCGGCTCGATCGGCTCGAGCGGTTAACTGCCTCGGCCGCTCGCTAACTGCTAGATAAAACCGGAGCGGCTTTTAGACTATTCCGAGCCGATTTTGTTACCAGATGACGATTTTAGCGGTCAAGTTGAGCGGCTCGGCTCAACTTTAATAACACTGGTATTTATTTACATTTACTGCCCCTATATTTAGGAATTTTTTCCCCCTACTTTTACTGTGTTCCTGAGCTGACTGCTGAGTCGCTGTCCCGAGTTCTATTTCGCGTTAACCGAGTTCTTTCTCTTTGCCGCCGCTCTTCTTCCATTCTTCGTAACCACAAAAAAGGAAGAAAAAAGAACGCACTGCAACTTACCTGATTCAGTGACCTCTGGAGAATGGCAACGATCACATATTCCTGCCGCAGAATGCTAAACTCACCTCGATTTCGCCTCTCCCGCCACTTCTCCTCTCCTTCCTTCAACCCTCGCCGAGTCGTAGTCACCGGTACGCAGCGGCTATTTCTTATATGCTTCGAGTTTGTAATTAGCACTCCAAATGATTTGGGTCCTCCTTTTCAGGCATGGGGATGGTGACTCCATTGGGAAATGGAGTGGAGACGACGTGGAAGCGATTGATAGAGGGAAATTGCGGGGTAAGGGGAATCTCCCCCGACGATCTCAAGATGGGTTCGTTTGACGAAGAGACCAAGTTAAGAACTTTCGAGCAGCTGAGCTCCAAAGTTGCAGCGGTTGTGCCTTGTGGAGATGGTCCTGGCGAGTTCAGTGAGAAGCCGTGGCTTAATTCCAAGGTGATGAACATTTCCGCGTTTCAGTTCGTTTCTTAAAGGTAAATACGTAGTTGTAGAGATGGGGAATTAGAGATTGAAGAATGGAGAATCCAAATTGAAATACGAATTTACTCCAATAGGCTTTGTTTATGATGCATTGTGGGTTTTCCAATGGGATGATCTTTCATGTGGTGTTTGCTTTAAGCTTAGAAATGGCTTGTACTGGTCATCAGGAGCACAGATCAATGGCGAAGTTTATAGTGTATGCCTTAAGTGCGGCAGATGAAGCCTTGAAGGATGCGAAGTGGGAACCAATAGAAGAGGAGCAGAGGGAAAGAACGGTAATTTTCAGTTATTATTTTGTATGCTGGGAGCTAGAGTGAGGATTAGGTTGCGAATTTCAGATTGATTTTCTGATTATCCTGGTTGATGTTTTCTTTAACATGAAGATTTCCAGGGCGTCTCGATTGGTGGTGGAATCGGCAGCATAACTGATATCCTAGATGCCTCACAGATGATCTGTGACAAGGTCTTGTTGTTACAGTTCTTCTTTTACTGCTGTTAATGTTGCGGTTTGGAGTTACCTATATTCGTGGTCAAAGGACTGATCTCATATAGTTTCTTTCTCGACGCAGAGAGTTCGTCGGCTAAGTCCATTCTTCATACCTCGGATACTCATAAACATGGCTTCTGGCCATGTGAGCATGAAGTATGGATTCCAGGTGCTCATATTATTGCCTTCACTGAACGTTTAATCTGTTAGTGTTGTGACTTGTGGTATACGATCCACGATTGAACCTCTCCCAACAACTCGAGTTATTGGGGTCAACTGGTTCTTGACATGGTATCAGAGCCTTCTGTGACCGAGAGGTATTGTGTTCGATTCCCGGTTGCCCCATTTGTTAAGCACATGGTATTCTTGTCTTCAAACCTGTGCAAACTTCAAGCCCTTATGAGTGGCTTTCGTTTGAGGGGACGTGTTAGTGTTGTGACTTGTGGTATACGATCCACGACCTCTCCCAACAACTCGAGTTATTGGGGTCAACTGGTTCTTGACATAATCATGGTATTGCATGCTTCACTCTACTAGATTATCTTATCTTTTTCTTCATCATTACAGGGACCTAACCATGCGGCTGTGACTGCATGTGCTACCGGAGCGCATTCGATTGGTGATGCCACAAGAATGATTCAGTTTGGAGATGCTGATGTTATGGTGGCTGGAGGCACGGAATCCAGCATAGATGCTCTATCAATTGCAGGATTTTGCAAGTATTTATCCTGTGAAAGTCACATCATTTCTTTTTCGATAGTTTTTATTTGATTGTCATGGGGCTATAAGTTTTCCGCATGTAAAGACTACGTTCTTGATTCCTCCCAGGTCCAGGGCTTTAACTTCAAAGTACAACTCAAATCCCCTTGAAGCTTCACGCCCTTTTGATAGTGACCGGGATGGATTTGTGTAAGCCGTCAGTTTCTTATTACTGTTCTCCATTTCCATTACTTGTTCTTGCTTTCCTAATCATCCAACTCTCTACAAGCGCAGCATCGGGGAAGGCTCTGGTGTCTTGGTATTAGAGGTGAGTTAAAGATGTCTTTCTTTCTTAATTTCTAATTCTATTACATACTAATACAAGTTCAGATTGATTGTTATATCTCTCTCGTGCATGGTTTAACCAGGAGCTCGAGCATGCAAAACAAAGAGGAGCAAAGATATATGCAGAGATCCGAGGATATGGGATGTCCGGTATAGTTCTAAACCCTTGCCACAATTTGTGCTACTACTTCCTTAATGATAATAATATCTATGATTGATTATCCAGGAGATGCTCATCACATTACTCAGCCACCTACTACCGGAAAAGGAGCCATTCTAGCTATGACTCGTGCTTTAAAACAGGTATTAGAGTAGGCTTGAATGCTTTGGGTGGTCTTGGTTTTCGTTTTCTTCAATCAAACAATAAGATGGCTTTCGTACTTGGTTTGAACAATTTTGAGTCTTTCGTGCATTTGCAGTCAGGTTTGCATCCAAATCAAGTGGATTACGTAAATGCTCATGCTACTTCTACGCCTTTGGGTACTAACACGCTGAATCCTCAAAGATAGTTTTCTATGTGAAGATTGGGCCATAAGTGTGCCTCACTTACGCTTGCTTTTGCCTCTTTGCAAATATTTGCTCTTCAGGCGATGCAGTGGAAGCCACCGCCATTAAAACCCTATTTGGAGAACACGCAGCCTCTGGGGCTCTAGCAATTTCCTCCACCAAGGTACACCGCAATTCAGGGTTTTCGAGCTTTCTCTTTCCCCCAGCTAGCATATGATTCTTTTCGCTGAAAAACAAGAAATGGTTGTGGTATAGGGTGCCACTGGTCATCTACTTGGAGCAGCTGGTGCTGTTGAAGCAATCTTCACCATATTAGCAATCCACAAGGTATGCATCAATCTTCACGTACACATGAATCTAAAGTCCAATTGACGATAGAAGTTTGTGATCATCAACTGGCTTGCGGTTGTTTCAGGGAATTGCACCTTTGACTCTTAACCTAGCTACACCAGATCCAGTGTTCAAAGACGGCTTCAAACCACTGACCTCTTCGCAAGAGATGCCAATAAGTGTGGCCATGTCGAATTCTTTTGGCTTCGGAGGCACAAATGCGTGTCTTCTCTTCTCCACTTTATCATAGAAGATTCCTAACGCACATTCTAGTCTTGGATATTGAGTTCCCCAACATCCCAAATTTGGCTTGTGCTTATAAATCCTGCACGAAGGTGTTTCTTTCCCAATTCCATGTTGTAGCATTGTTGACATTTTCATAGAACCATCTTATACCGAGTTTTGCAGATGTTAAGGTTCTCTTTCAAGTTTTGTACAGTATTACCCAGAAATACTGCTTCTTAGCATACAAATACTATGTATGAACCGACTTGTAACCTTCTGTCAAAGGAACCACCTTCGCCGAAACTTTGGACTGCAACTTCATGGCAGCGGCACGAATATCCTGGGAATCAAGAATTAGAAAAGCCATCATTTGTCTAGACTCTGGAAATTATTCAGTTAGATTTTATCAAAAAAAAATTTTATAAATTAGATGATTCGTATCAGTTCAGTACTGTTTACCTCTATGCTATAACGAGATGAAAAATGAGTCAACATCACCACTCTGCTCCTAATCCATTCGGCATTCTCAATGATCTGAAAAGGTTTTTGAACAGATTATTCTCAAGCCAGAATTCTTCACAATGACAATGTTCGAATCTACAGATTCAGGGTAATTTTGTTTTACCTCAAACAAATGGGTATGACCGTGTTGTTGAGCATGATCGACACTAAACCCTTCGTCCAAGAAAGTCGCCTGTCTCGAAACAGTTGTTAAACAATCACCAACTAATAACTCTACTTCTTCACACACACACAGAGAGAGAGAGAGAGAGAGAGAGAGAGAGAGAGAGAGAGAGAGAGAGAGAGAGAGAGAGAGAGAGAGAGAGAGAGAGAGAGAGAGAGAGAGAGAGAGAGAGAGAGAGAGAGAGAGATCTTATTAGGAAGTGTGTTACCTCGGTTATCAAAACTTTGGCTCTCAAAGCATCTGCATTACGTGGATCAAGCATGTAGTCTGCAGTGGTATCTCCAGTGAAGGCAACCTCGGGCGACATTATGATGTCTGTGATCTAACATTGGCAGAAAAATAGAATGAAAAACGTTTCGGTGTAACACGAGACAAGTCTGAAGTAAAAACAGAAAATAATGACAAACCTCTACTCCAGATTTCTTCAGCTTCTCAATCTGTTTCCCTTTCAAATGGCTATACTGCTTCTTTAGCTTCTTCCTAAGCGAGTACACCACATACCCCTAAACACAAAACAACCCCAATCATCAAAATTCATCGCAGCAAAAATCAAATCGCCCAGAAGTTATGATAAACTCCCCAGGAGAAAGGAACCATACCTGGCTGGGGATTACATGCTGAGTTCTAAATGGCCTGACCACAATGTCATTACGCAGTTCATAAGTTTCACCTGAAAGTTTCGAAAGTTGAGAATTATTATCCAAACGCACCAAGTTGAAGAGAAATAAACATGGAATCCAATAGCACCAAAGGGAGCATTTTACCAATATCCAAGGCAACTAGCTCCATGTTGAGTTCGACTTGGCCCATTGACCTGTGAATGTCGAAGAGCTTCTCGACATCGTCTTTCAAGGAAGGAGGCACAAATATGGTTGGAGGTTTCAAGTTGTACAGACCCCGGCTGGCTACATACATTGGTAATCCTCCCTACACAACCATAATTCAAGCACAAAAATCGATAGTAATTGAGAAGCTGTATTGGAAATCAAACCGCTGACGCTGAGATTAGCAACTCTTAGGCGTAATAGAGCTACACTAACAAAGCCACGAATGATAATGTGATAAAATTCCCACTTGTTCGTACCAATAACTTAAGCTAATCCCAAGGTTTCCATAAACAGACCTTTATACACTACACCCAGCTACCAATAGTCTAACTGTTCAATGGAAGCTACCGGGAGGAGGGAACTTTTTGCAAGAGCAGCGGACTCACGATGTGATCAAGATGTCCATGGGTGATGAACACGAAGTTCTGTTGAATAGCTCGAGCAGGACACCTCCCAATGTCGAAAGCGCACTTCAATTCCGGGATTATGACGCATGTCTCGTGGCCGCCGACGGAGATGCCCTCGATAGTGTATCCTTCCAAGTCGACGCCTCGGCGGAGGACAGCGGAGCGGGCCTTTCGGTACTCTTCTTCCTCGTCAATTGCGCGGCTGAGGGAGGACAGGTAGCCAGAAGCTCTGGCGGCTGTGGTGGTAGAGCTCGCCGTGAGGTTCTTGAGAGAAGGAAGGTACGGCGGCGCGGTTGCAGTTGGCGGTGGAATTGGATAGTGGTGGTGGTGGTGGAAAGGGGAAATTGAAGGAGAGGACGAAATTGGAAGAAAAGTTTGCATTTTTTTTTTCTTAAGGAATGTGATGAGATGAATTTTTGCAGAAATGGAGAAAAGAGGGGTTTGCAGAGGTTTTGCAAGCAAGCGCCAACAGCAACAAGATGACTTTGCTCTCCAGATTCCAGCGGTTAAACGGCGCTGTTTTGTGTCCCCTGTGTCTCTTATCCACCGTTTTCTTCGTTTGGTATGTTTTGACCTGTGGTACAATTTTATATCAGTTCATACTTCTGGCTTGAAGAATACATATAAATAATGAACTAATCATTTACACTAAATGAAATTAGAAATATATAATATATTTGAAGACATTTTTTATAAAATAATATTTAAATAAAATATAACATTTCAAAATCCTCATATTTAAATACAACATTTAATGTAACATCCAAAATTTTATAATCCAACAAATAACATAAACATCTAAACATAATTTAACAAATAATATCAACATTTTATATTTCAACTTGAAGAAACAAATACAAAATATGGTTTTTGTTAACTAATTAATTCACCAAAACCACATAGTTTGAAAATCTTAAAGGATCATATCAGTCATACCAGAAGTATTCCAATAGATTTTGTAACTAGTACTGGCTGAACCCAGTTCTACCGACAGGTATGACACATCATACCAGTTATTTGTACCATTGGTGCTCCTCTTGCTCGTTGTGCACTGCCCACAAGAATGGACTTTGCTCTGCCTCCTCCTCCTCGTTGAGACTTTTATTAGAGTATGGGTAGTACGAGTAGTATTATGTTATACTACGAGTATTGTTATGTAATTGAGTAGTGCTATATTCCTTATTAGAGTCGTAGAAGTTAGGTAATTTCCCTATTAGTGTTAGGGTTATTATAGAAGTCAGTCTCTGTACTCTATATAAACCCATGTTGTTTCAGTAATAACACACAACAGTTTCCACCGTATTCTGATTTCCCAACATGGTATCAGAGCCTCGTTAAAAAAAAAATCCTAGTAGAGAAAACCCCAAAACTCCTTTTCTTCTTCGGCTGCCCACCATGAGTGCACATTCGCCCGGAAACTGATCATTGTTCATGCTGTTTTCCTTGTTATGTTCCTCCCTTCCATAAGTTCCGTGGTTTATTTGTCCAAGTTCGTCCTTGCTAATCAACTCTGTTGGTTGGCAAGAATAACAATTCTCAGTGGTCATCAAGTTTTGGTCGTCGTCATGTATTCGTCGTGTCTCTCGCTTCGCTTCGTCAGGTCTACACGCCATGTTCCCATGCCCACTTATCAGCTCCAGTCTATTGGGTACCGACCCAAAATTGATACCGCCTCGTGAATGAACGGTAATGGTTGAGTCCGAATTTCAATTATGTTTTCCAGCTACTGCAAGTATTGGGATTTTGTTTGGACTTGAGTCAAGCTGGCTTCGCATGATATGGTTATTTGGACGACAATCATTACCTTGTCATTATATGATGAGATTAGCTATTGGAATTTATGGGTATCTCTTCATCAACGTGGTACAAATTTAGCTCTTTGCACTTCTTGATTGATGGGCTATGGTGGAGATTGCAAAAGGTTTTGGAGTCGTTCAAGTCCGTCTCGGTTTGGTACAACCATAGGTTTCGTCCCTTTGGTTTCGGTTATAGACGTGTTGTTCGGAACACCTTAGTTTGAGATATTGTTCGGAATATCTCAATTTGATAAATGTTGTTCGGAGCATTTTTGGTATTGTTTCCGTTTCGATGATGCTATTCGGAGCATCTTGGTCGCCATGTTGCTGTTTGGAGCGCGTGGTTTTGTTTCTGTTTCGATGATGCTATTTGGAGCATCTTGATCGCCATGATGCTGTTCGGAGCACATGGTTCTGTTAGTTTGACGGACTAGAAGACTTTTGGCAAGACTTTTTGTTATCTCCAGCTTATCACCATCGACGTTTCACGAGGCATTGGACATGATCTTCATCGACATCGACATATTTGGCGGAGCAGTTATGTTTTTCATTGTTTTTATTTTTGTCACATTGTTCATAGTAATGTGTGTCGTTTTTGTTTCGGTTTTCAAATTGTTGGTAAGTAATTACCATCAATTTGGGGAGGGTATTAGAGTATGGGTAGTACGAGTAGTATTATGTTATACTACGAGTATTGTTATGTAATTGAGCAGTGTTATATTCCTTATTAGAGTCATAGAAGTTAGGTAATTTCCCTATTAGTGTTAGGGTTATTATAGAAGTCAGTCTCTGTACTCTATATAAACCCATGTTGTTTCAGTAATAACACACAACAGTTTCCACCGTATTCTGATTTCCCAACAACTTTCTGTTGTCTCAGTAGGGAATTGTATGATCTTTTCCCCTATTGTTTGATCCAATATTGATCAAGGACGAGCCCCGACTTCCATTCTTCTCATATAAGAGTCTATTCTAGCTTCCTTACATAATTTGTCTTAGACCAGCTCGTAACTGAAAATCGCCAAAAACTACCAAAGGACATCAAAATATACAAAATATATCAAGGTCTAATAATCATATGTTAGATGTTTTATATATTTCTATCATAAAATTAAGGGATAATTCCACTAGGAATCCCAAACTATATGCGTTTCGTGACATTTGTGTCCTACGCTATTCAATATGACAAATATGACACAAACTATATGCGTTTCGTGACATTTGTGTCCTACGCTATTCAATATTAGTATATGACAAATATGACACAAACTATATGTGTTTCGTGACATTTGTATCCTAAACTATTCAATATGACAAATCTGGCACAAACCATTTTTTCGTTAATGTTTACCGGCGTTTGTGCAGATTTGTCATATTGTATAGTTTAGGATACAAATGACACTTTTTGAATAGTTTGGGCTTCCTAGTGGAATTAGCCATAAAATCAACTAATAATACATCAAATAGAGATGGTTTTTAGTCAAACTATGAGGTAAAATAACTCGGGTACCACTAAAGTATGAATAAGTCATCGCGTGCCACTGAACTCTATTATATGTGCATCCGGTGCCACTTAAATTTACTTTTAAGTGCATTCCATTAAAGTTGACAGAATATTCTTGAAATATTTTATTTTCTAAATTTCAAAATTGGTCCTTCTACTTTTCTTATTGTAAAAAATCCTTTGGACTTATGAAAAACATCATTTTTTATTGTTTAGTTAGAATCCTCTTTTGAATACTCTGATACCAAACCAATTTTTGAATAAAAAATTACAATCAATTATCATTAAAATTATTTTCAATTATCATTATGTGTTCTAATAATTGAATTATTCCCTGAAGCAACTATTTTCTATGCATTCTGTCTCGATATAAATAATATGATGATATTACATTTCGTTCTCTTACATCATACTAATGTTGTCTAATTTTCTATATTACATCTCCTTGTAATTCTATAATATTATGTACATGTTCCATATTAGTTAAATTTACTAATTTTAATTCTCTTCCTATAGTCAAATTTTCTTTCCTAGATTTGTTAATGAATGTTGTAGCTTTTATATTTTACTCATTACTTGGTTACTTTCCGTCTATTTTAGTTCTAAATTTATTTCAAATATTGGAATATGTTTCATTCTTACTGATAGTGTTCAATTTATCTTTCTTTGGTCTTAATGGGCTAAATTACACGTTTGGTCACTCGAATTACAAAAATCTTTCACGTTTGCCACCCGAATTACTTTTCTTTCTTATTGACCACTAACTTTACGAATCGTTTCACCGTTAGTCACCGGCCGTTACACTCCGTTAAATATGTCCTACATGGCAGTCAACTATAAAGTTTGATCGTTAATTAGATGACGTGGAAATTAAAAAATATATATATATATATAAATTAATTTATTTGTCCACCTCATTATTCCACTTATTTATCATATTACTTATTTAATAAAAATTAATTAAATTATAAAAATAAATAATATGATTGATGCGTGTTGTCGGCGGCGGCGACCACCACTTCATTCCAAATCGGAGTGAAGGCCCGAACGATGACGGCGTCGTAACAGGGGGGAATTGAGCTTCAGGAATCGCTTCAGCTAATCTTCGAGCCCGCTCCGACTGTAAATCCCCTTCTCACCACCATCTACGTCATCAAATCCCTAAAATCCAGATCGAAAATGCCCATTACTGAGGGATGCTTCTTCTTCTTCTTCTTCTTCTCCACCTTGACCATATATCATCCATCAATCACTCCACAATTAATCGATCAACATTCCCCAGCAGAGCAATTGATGCGCGTCGATGTGGAATCCGGCTTCTTCTTCTTCATCTTATTCTCCCCTATCTTCATCCCCTGTCCCAATGTAGTCAAAAGCGCGATTCTACCTAGAAGCGTTTGGATGATCTAGAAGGGTAAAACCGTAAGCTTTTAAGTTTTAAAGCATAGATTTTGACTACATTTGTAAGGAAAAATCACGATTTTACGTAGAAGCGTTTTGGTGACCTAAAAAGGTAAAAGCGCGATTTTGACTACATTGCCTGCCCCCTTTCGTTCAGATGTAAATGCGATTCATGAGAAATTGATGCGCGCCGACGTGGAATCCGGCAACCACGATCCCCCACCGCCGCCGGAGCTAAATTCCGCATCAACAACTTAACCAAGTTCAGCGACGTCCCGATCTTGCACGGGGTGGAGATGGAAATCCCCAAATCCCAAATCATCGGAATCATAGGACCCAACGACATCGGGATATCGATCATATTATTTATTTTTATAATTTAATTATTTTTTTATTAAATAAGTAATATGATAAATCATATACACAAAGTAAGTGAAATAATTAGGTGGACAAATAAATTAATTTATATATATTTATTTTAATTTCAACGTCATCTAGTTAACGGTCAAACTTTATAGTTGACTGCCACGTAGGACAAATTTAACGGAGTGAAACGGCCGGTGACTGACGGTGAAACGATTCGTAAAGTTAGTGGTGAATAAGAAAGAAAAGTAATTCGGGTGGCAAACGTGAAAGATTTGTATAATTCGAGTGACTAACCGTGTAATTTAGCCGGTCTTGATGTATTGATGGTTGATTTGTTTCTATTTTAACTGTTTTTAGTAGTA